ACACACACACACACACACACACACACACACACACACACACACACACATAAATATATATAAACTGAACACCCCAATTATTTGATGAAACTGAGTTCTAGTTTTTATGTTGCTTCAAATTACAGATTTATCAAATGATTGGGGTGGCTGAAGATTAATCAATGGTGGGCGACACCTGCTCCCTGGCTCCAGCATTGTGCTGTGTTTTCAGAGTACTGTAATCTTTACTGTTTTTGCACCATATATAATTTTATTTTTAGTACAGAAAATCATTCACCTTCCCATCTTTATCCACACCGGCTGCCTGGCCAGATGCCACACGCACTTTGTTAGGATGTAGGGTTAGACTGCAAAAGAAAGAAAAAAAAAGTTTAAACTTGTATTTTTATTAGTTTGATACTCAGTCTTATAACCAAACTTTATGGACAGAACAATAATAAGTAGAACATTTAACGTATTTCCACCTTGGATAACAGGGCAATACCTCACAGGGCTGTAACTGTTGGGACTAGTTCGCTTCTGAAATTTGTGAAAAAATAGGAAAATTTTAATTTAATTTTCACTAAAATCTGAAGAAACTGAGAGCTGCCATTTCAAAAACCTTTTGGGAGTGCTCCCAAACCTTGTTTAAAGACTAGCTGCCAATAACTGGGGCTCTGATACATCAAGCACATCTTGTGCACACACTATATAGCTTTGATGTAACATTTACATATAAAGCAAAGCCTGTACAAAGTGACATTTGTGTTTCTAACTGCATTGTCAGCTAAAGAGCATCTTTCTCCACACTGGCACCGATGTAAATGAAGAGCAAAAACTTGAGCTAAAACGAGGCTGTGCACAGTCTCAGTGAATCTGTACCCGCACAGAAACACAAGGTCCTTAGAAACAAAAAATGCTGTAATAATGGAAAATTCCATTTGTTGATGTGATTGAAGCTCATCATACTGACCAGCGGATGCAGTCTGTGTGTTTGCGATAGTGGCGCTGTGTGCGGTTGTTGATGTGATAAAGCACGATGACACAGGCGATGAAATACACCGCCTCGCCTGTTGGGAGGAAGTATAAATTGGCTCGGCAGTCCCGACCCCGGTAACCGTAGCTATAGCATGACAGGGTCAAGGTGGTTTCATTGTTTCAGTGGAACCATACATTCAATAAAGAAACAGTTCACACATTTAGAGAAGAAAAATTTCACTGAAGGTGCTAGTTGTTGCTTAAAGTAATGAATTTTTTAATATTTTAACATTGATATATTAATAACACTTCTTTCAGCTGCTCCCTCTTCAGTGGTCTCCACAGCAAACATTGTTTTACATCCCACTTCCTTCCTAACAGAACCCTCGCCATTTACCCCGGGGTTTGGACTGGTATGAGAATACACTGGACTTTTCCACGTTTTTTCATGTTACATCCACAAATATTTTAAAGTATTTACCTGGAGACACAATTGTGAAGTGGAAAAATAACCTGAATATAATTTGATCTAAACAGTTCCATTGTCTGTTTTTGTTTAGTTTTTATTTAATTTCTTCTATTTAAGTTTCATTTTATATGCTTTTTATATGATTGTCTATTGTTTGTACCTCATCTGAGTGCTTTGTTTAAAACATGTCTCTCTTGTAAATGAGTCCTCGTGGCTCAGTGAGACTAACCTGTAGAAATAACAGTTGAATGATTAAAAAAAA